CCCCCCCCCCCCCCCCCCCCCCCCCCCCCGGGCACCCTGCACTCTGGCCGCCGGGGGGAGAGCCGAGCCCCAGCCGGGGCTTGCCGCCCTGCCCCCGGTGCTCTGGCTGCCGGGGGGAGAGCCGAGCCCCCACCGGGGCTCACCGCCCTCCTCCCAGGGCTCCGGCCGCCCTCCCCACCCCGGCGTCCTCCCCCTGGCCGCCGGGGGGAGAGCTCGCCGCCCTCCCCCCCCGCGTGCCCTCCCCCCGGCCGCTGCGGGGAGAGCGGAGCCCCCGCCGGGGCTTGCCGCCCTCCCGCCGGGGCTCCAGGCGCCCTGTCGGCCAGACCCCTGCTGCTGGCACAAGCCCCCTGCTAATCCTCCCCAGGGCTGCCCGGGGTGGGGGGGGGGCGGCAAGTGGGGCAATTTGCCCCAGGCCCCGCAGGGTCCCCCACGAGAATATAGTATTCTATTGTATTGCAACTTTTTTTTAAAGAAGGGGCACCCAAAATTACTTTGCCCCAGGCCCCCTGAATCCTCTGGGCAGTCCTGATCCTCCTGGCTGCGTCCATCGCTGGGGGAAGAGGTGGAATGGGGGCGGAGCCGTGGGGGAAGACTAAGAGGCAGGGCGGAGGGAGTTGTCCCGGGCCCCACACCACCCTAGGGACGGCCCTGCCCCTTGCAGTGGGCGCAGTCCACGGGGGAGGCGGCTGGGGGATAGGGCTGGTGCAAAAATCGTAGCTGGTGCTGCCCCAAATTTCATGGTGCCCTACGGAGCAGGGTATTCTGTGTATGCGAGATGGCACTGCTTTCTCCCATGCTGCCCCTCGTTCTTGGGAGGAGCTCCCCATAAATATCTGCAAAGCAACCTCATTATCTTCCTTCAACTCTCCCTTTTCTGTGATGCCAACAACCAACTTGACAGCAGTTAGGCTGCTGGTGTGCAGAGACCACTGCCTGTCATGCTGACCACCATTGTCTCATTGTTTCCTTATGCTCCCCTGCCTGTCTATAATCATCTGTTGTCTCCAGTCTTACACTTAGCGTTGTAAGCTTGTTGGGTAGAGCTTCATCATTGATGAACCACCAAAATGGACACATGAGATGTGTGTTGGTGGAAAGCTGTTTATGTTTTGTTAGTATTGTGGCTCATGGAAAACTGAACAATGTTTATCACAGGTTTATTTATTTTGAAACTCACATCAGTATCCATCCTGGAAGCACATGAGCACCTTCTATCATTGAAAACCTTCAGTTACAAAACTAACCCAATCCGAAGCTTTCAACCACAAACACAACATGCAAAAACAAAAGAAGTGACTTACACGGCAAGACATTATTGTACCTATTTTTCCCTCTGTTCTCAGTAAGTTCAGCTGCAAATTTAGGCTGATGAATGCCCACCGACTTGAGTTCCTATAGCAAAACAAAGAATTTTTTTTAGTGATGACACTGGTTTAAAGACAGGGCAGAGCCAATCACTGGGATATACCAGCAGTGCTAACACACATGGAGTCCCTAGAGTAGTGGAAGAATTAGGCCTTGGAGAAGTGGTAATAAAATGAACTCTTCTTTTTTAAAAGAGTGCAAAAGAGAGAGCAGCAAACCTCACAGGGAGGAGAGGATGATTAATAAACATGTGCGTCCCACAAATTTATTTTTGCACTTGCTCTAAAATATGGATGACTAACAGTGACTGCATGTTCACTCAGGCCCTGAGTCAGCAGAGCTCTTAAGTATATGCTTACCATTCAGCAGGTATTTAAAGTCCCACTGGCTTTCTTACATTTCTTTGCTGAAATTGGGGTCATGAATATGAACTACGGCTGTCAGACCATATGCTAATTGTGCAGGGTGAGGAACTGTGCACAGGAAGAGGACCTGATTTAGGAACAGGGAGTGGTGTGGAGCTGGTTTGGAGTCGAGACAAGGAGGAGGAAAGAGGGATGATAATGAAGAGGGCATTGAGGAAAGAGGGGCAGGGTGGAGTATACGGCACTAGAGGAGTTGGAGGAGGATACATAACCTGAAAGGAAGGCATGGCAGAGCTATGTAGTGCCCTATACGTTAAAATAAGGAGTTTGAACTTGATATGGAAAGAGACAGGAAGCCAGTGAATGGCTTCAGGGAGGAGGGAAAAGTATTCTGTATAATAGCGGACAATCGAGCTATTCAATACCTTTCTATAAGTGACTGGACAAATGGCTTGTTTCCTGGTTTGGGGTTCTCTCTAGTTACCTTCAAGTTTACATACACTTTATAGAAAAATATTTATTGATGTGAGGGAAACAATATTTAGCATCTGTACAGCAACTTACAGCTCTAAAGCAATTTAAGGTACCATAAACCCCAGTAAGGAAGGTAGCAATGTTAGTATTATGTCCACCCACCCTTTTTGCAAATGGGAAGACAGAGGCACAGGAGTGGGTAAGTGGCTTTCCCCAGGCTACGTGCTAACTTAAGTATTGCTACATACATGCCCCCAGACAGGTTTAGTGCCACAGAATCTGAAATATCTCTCTTGCATTTCAAATAGAAGGCAGATGGGAATTCGTTGTCAGTGATACGATTCTGTCACTGTGGTCACCACCGTCACAAAACTATGAATTTTGCCATTTATATGGACCTTGCAGCTGTGCATTAACAGTTTGTTACTTCACTTTGATCAGCTGGCAAGCAGGTGCTTGGGGCGGTCGCTCCGGAGAGGGGCGGCACGTCCAGCTATTCGGTGGCAATTCGGTGGACGGTCCCTCACTCCCGCTCGGAGCGAAGGACCTCCCGCTGAATTGCCGCCGCAGATCGCGATCGCGGCTTTTTTTTTGGCTGCTTGGGGCGGCCAAAACTCTGGAGCTGGCCCTGCCCTTACAACCTGCCTTTTGACCCTGCCCCTCCCCCCAGCCTTCTGCACTTACCCAAACACCTCCACTCCTGCCTCTCCTTGCGTCTAACACCCCCTCTGCCTTCTCTAGCCCTGCCCTTACCCCTGTCTGTCCCCAACTTCCACTCTGACTCCCCCCGCCCTCGCAAACCCTCTCTTCAGTGCAGCGCACCCAGAAAGGCTGGGTCTTTGCCACCCTCACATCCCCTGTGGCGATAGCTCCTGTTCTCTGCCATCTTTCCCCCTTGTAGGTACCCCAGTCCTCAATCCCCCGATCCTCTCTGCCCCCAGCTTGCCCGATCCCCAGCCCCATCTCTATCCCATACTGCTTCAATCCCTGACCCCCTTTCTTGTCTCACTCCCTAGTCTGTAGCTGGGACCTGATGCCCAACCTTGACACTTCACTGGCAGATCCCATGCTCCGATGCCTCGCTCTGGAGAAGCCCCTTCATCTCAGCAGGAAGAATGGCAGGGCCTGGTGCCCTGGCCAGCTGCTTGGCAGCAATCAGCTCAAGCCTTCTGCATTCCGTCCTGCCCACCCCTCCTCCAGCAATGGGCTGAGGAGAGAGACAGGAAAGGGAGTCGGGGAGTGGGTGAGCCAGGGAGAAAGGGGGCAGGGGGGATTGAGGACTGGGGAACCTACAAGGGGTAAAGAGGGCAGAGAACAGGAGAACAGGGGACCCGGGGGATGAGAGGGGCAAAGACCCAGCTGTGCCCCTTCTTGGAGCTCTGCACTGGGTGTGGCGACGACACAGGAAAGGAAACAGAACGCCTGGTCTGTGGTAGTCAGAGAGCTTCACAAGCCTCCTGCAAAAAGCCTCAAGCCAAAAGCCTCAAGCCAAAAGCCTCCCAGGAAAACTTTTCCTGGGGTTTTTATTTCCTGTGCTTACTCTGTTTACAACACTTCTCAGTGGTCAAATTCTTGAGCATAGAAAAGGCATGCAGTGTACATCAACATGAGATAACAAACCCATCTCTTGTGCACGTGAACACCAGCTGCGAGGGTGATGATCAAATCAGCCAAATAAGTTTACTAATCACAAATGCTGGATTGAAGGCCACTCCTGCCTTGTAGCCATGGAAACAGTGTGCCGTGACCATGGGCTGACAGTTTGGGAGCTATGCATTCCTACACTGGGGAGAAGAGTCTGCGGGGTTGGGGGAGTCAGAGTAGAAGAGGGGACAGAGACAACAGGCAGGGGCAGGGTCCCCCATAATATGAGCACTGATTAACAAAGAGGACTAGATCAAAGTGAACTAAAAATGTGAATGCACAGCAGCAGAGTGCACAAGGATGCAGTGCCCAGAGCATGGAATTATCTATGTTTTACCATGACTGTGCCATGAATTATGAATAATTTTACTGTGACAAAATCATATCTTTTGTATACGCCCAGTCTCTGACACTGGTCACCTCTCTCTCTCCTCTAAATAATGCCTGGCTTCTTCCCAAAGAGAAGCTATTTTTTTCCCCTCTGTAAAAATAAATAACTGAACTCCATAACAACTGGTAATACATACTTCGTACTCTTCAGCAAATCCACAGTTCGAGTCAGCTTGCTGTTTCTTAAAGTAGGACTCAAAGTTTTCAACTTTAATTGACTTGGATCTAAAACGAACAAAGCCACTTATTAGTATTTGCTATTAGCTAAATAAACCGTAAATTCAGTTAATGGCAGTCGTTCATGTTTACAAAATGTGATTTACTTACTTCTTGGGTCTTGAGGAGGGGAAAAAAGAAAAAAAAAGATTAGACATAGCGCAGTTATACTTTTACTATATTACAAGCTTTATTCTACACATCAAACACTGCAGGACAACTAGACATATAGCTCCAATGCTCTACTGTGGCCAAGGAGTTTCACTGCAATTTAGGAAAGAGGATGTAAACAGGTGGCATTAAGTCACCTTTGTGAGTCCCTGATCCTGGGTTGGTCGTGTATTGGGTCAATCTCCTGATATAACTTTGACTGACTGCCAATGGCCTCAAAGGCTGCTAGGAATCACTGGGGATGCCCTTGGCTTACATGGTGTCCGAGCCATTTTATGCCAGCTTTGCACTACCTGAGGTTCCCCCTGTACTGGGGTGACCCTCCTATATCCCCCTGTCCTGGCTTTAAGGCTGTTTTGCACTGGTGGCTCAGCACAAAGTAGCCCTATCACAGGGGAGCATTGAGGCTACAGTGGACAATCTTGTTTAGACACAGAGTGCAGACAGATCCTCTACACACTGCACTTTGTAATCTGGATTATATTGTCAATGCATAAGAATACAAGGCAAAGCCACCTACGGGATTTGGTCATCTAATTCCCATTAATTTTAACTGGAAGTGGGTGTTCAAATCCATTTGGCAGCATTGAAAGTCTCTACATAATTATTTTTAGACAGCAGTAGGTTATGTTTGGTTCCCTGAATTCCATAAGGAAATAAAATGTTCAAGGCTTTAATACCAGGAACTCCACTCCAGAAAATTGTATAGTACACCACTATCAGAATTCAGAACAAGTCTTGCCAATATTTACGTAAACTCAGAAAATAGTGGATGAAAGAATATTTAACTCACCTAATTGGAGAAAAGGGCAGCTCACTATTTTTTCCATCTTTCCTGTTGGGAAGGGGTGGGAAGAGATTAGAAGAATGTATGCAGAACACAAATGAGATTCCTGGCAGAAGCTCTTTCTGTGGCTGGTTCATGATAGTTTTTCATATACCATCTGATCTTGTGCAAGAGGCCCTAACTGCGGCTGCCCTTATGCCCTACACTTACAGTGAGCAGTAAAATCATTAATAAGAAATTCATTGATCATGAATGAACAATAGACAAGTGTTAGTCTGTTCTAATGGAGTTGAGCGACAGGGAACAGACCCAAGCTTTGTCTATACGGCAATCTTAGCCACTGGTGTAGCTGTACCAGTGCAGATCCCCGGTTTACACTGGTTCAGCTTTTCCCAGTTTGGAACCAGGGTCAACCGCATTTTTAAAAATCAAATTGCACCAATGTAAGCTGTGTCTATACTAAGAATATGCACCAGGGCTAAAATCTCATTGTAGAAAAGGCCGTGGAAATAGGACTCTAAATGCTGCATAATGATTTAAGAAGTCAGATGTTTATTCAATGTGTTTACACCCTTGCTGTTTGAATAAAAAGGATCTTCACAGCTTCAAAGAAAGCTGCTCTCCTGGATCTTCTACTTAGGAAGCAAGTGTTGGTCAAAGATGGAAGCTCATGGGAAGGAAACAGCAATCAGAACAAGAAGGCAAAAGAAAATCAAAAAAGGCTTCCATGTCTTTTAGTGGCATTTTAGAATGTATGCTCTGCATAATTTGACTGGTAACATGAGAAAAAAAAGAGCCTTGATGGACTCCAGATTGTCTGGAAAAGACTCAGGAATTAGGGACACTCTCAGCACATCTCAGCTTTCTAGAGGAGCACAGCGTCTATGTATTTTCTCACAGATTTACTAGGACAACTTTTGAAAACTTTTCCGTTAGATCTTTTCCACTTAGCTTTGCCATTACCTCCAGAAAGGAAATCTCAGACCACAAGTTGGATTCCAGTGTGGCCAATTGAGAAAAAAAAAAAGCCTATATAAGATATCTTCAGGGCTTGTCTTACACAATCATCTAGTTTGCGGTAAGCTGGGATGTAAATCTACCCGGCACCAGCTTGCCATACTCTAACTGTCTCTGTGCACCCTGCTGACACATGCTAATGGTACCTTAATGTGATCATTGACGTACTAATTACAACTGTGCTATGGAGCACTATACATACACGACAATTAGTCTAATTCTGATCTGAATTACACAAATATCAATGTAAATCTGAATTTACACCAGTGTAACAGAGCAGAATTTGCTCAGTGATACAGTCATGATGAAGACGTTGTTTCCGCAACAAAATCATCTAAGTGAGTTTGAACGATCTACTTTGAATTACTGTGATATAAATAAACATTTTGTATCTATAAAGCTTATTTTAAAACATTGCTTTTTAAAGTATATGAAACAGGAATAGCGCTGGCTTCTGCCTCATTATGAAAAGCATCATAGAAGGGCTAGGTATTTATTATTATTTTTATTGTATTGTGAAATAATGTGACGCTCTTTACAGAAGTGAATGCAATAGTTAATATGTGTTACCTTCTCCGTCTCCAGAAAACGAATACCACTACAGTAGCTATAGCCACAGCACCCAAAATACATCCAATAACAGCTCCAGTGATGACACCTTATGGGAGGATAAAAACAGAAACTTTTCATGAATTATCTATCAAATCAACAATGATCCAACATATCAACAGGCTACAATGGACGCTAATGTGAATTTCTAATGTCAAGAAACAAGAAAAGGATATAGTTAAAGATTTTACAAATATAAAATGAGTTATCCAATGCTGTTTACAGACTCATAAGCAATGATAATAATTGATTTTTACCTCCCACTCCAGTTAACAATAATTAACTATTAGGAAGATACTGTATTCGGAGTGAAGAGATGGTGTAAAGCAACCATGGGGCAGATTGTCAGCTGGTGTAAACTGCCATAGTTCCATTAATCTTCCTCAAGTTTTATTTAAACAGACTCAATTTTCAGAAGGGTGGCTCCATTTTTGTACCTGGATTTTGATTGCAAGGGGCAACCTGAGTAGTTGCATTTTGAGCTATCCAACTCAGGGAGCAAATCAGATAGTTTGAGACACATCTATTTAAATCTGAACCTGCAATTCATTTCACAAACTGTGCCCAATAAAAGGAAGGACAGGTCTCAGCTTAGAGGAAAGTATATCCAAGTGTCATATAAGAAAGTGAAGATTACGACCATTAACAATTTACACTTCTACTATCTGCAGTAAATTTCATATGCAAAGGACACCTGTATGAAATGAGCTGACCTATAATGTCTGTTTGAATAAAAACTTGGCATTTCTGCATCATCTCTCAACTAAGATTATAGTAGTTTTCTAATTGGCATTGGAAACCAAGGACTTGTCTACACTGGCAATTTTAAGCGCTGCAACTGTCTCACTCAGGGGTGTGAAAAAACACCCCCCTGAGCACAGCAAGTTTCAGTGCTATATAGTGCCAGTGTAGACAGTGCACTAGCGCTGGGAGCTACACCATAGCTACACACAGAGAGGCCATATTTTCAAAGGTATTTAGGTGCCTAAAGACAGATAGACATCTATCCCACTGGTGCAATTTTGAAAAATCCCACTGTGACACTGCATCCCATATTCTTCATAGAGATATTTGTATGATATGATAATAACATAATCATAATGTATTTTATGTTGGATAGGTCATCTGTGTGATATCATTGAAAAGGTTATAATTTACTGAATATGATTATCCTATTTGTATGCATGTATCATTTTCATATCTGAAGTTAGGAATATTGACTATGTATCTGTATTACAAATTGTGTTTACACATGGGGAATGCCCACTAGACAAAAAGGCTCTCAGTCTCCATGGCTGTCTGGGAAGGGCCCATTCAGGTTAATAAGCCATTAGGAGAGAATAATAGACCTTAGAAGAAGCTTATTGCCCACCTGGGGGGAGGGGGCTTCCTGAGGATGCTACAAACACCCTCCGACTCATGGCTGCTGTAACACTACAGGGACGTGTAACCAGGTCACCTGGTGCTGGACTCCATCTTGGATACCACCGTTTTTCCACTGACTGGAGTGGGAACCAAGCTTTGAAACAAAGGGTTCCCGCCATATGCAAAGGCTATTTAAGGCAGGGGAGTGACATCATTGTGGTTCTTCACTGACTCCCCTCCCAAAGACACCCCTGGAAACACCTGAGGAACAAAGTCTGAACTGGGGGGAAGTGCTGGACCCAGGCTAAAGGGATTTTTAGCTTGTGAATGGAACACCTGGGATTTCTAAGCTGTAAGCCTGCTCAGCTTGCCTCTTAAGAACTTGCAGCCTGCTGGTATCATCATTTAGGATGAGAATTTGCTATTCATATCCGATCTATGTAGTATATTAAGCTTAGTTTGCGTGTTTTGTTTATTTGCTAGGTAATCTGCTTTGATCTGATTGCTATCACTTAAAATCTATCTTTTGTAGTTAATAAACTAATTTTTGCTTTGTCTAAAACCAGTGTGTGTGGAAATCATAACTCAGGGCAGAAAGCTGTTGTGTATATTCTTCTCCACATTGAAGGAGGGAGTGAATTTCATGAGCTTACGCTGTATAGTTCCCTGTGCAGTGCAAGATGGTATAATTTTGGGTTTACACTCCAGAGGGGGTGGCGTGCCTGAGCAGCTGGGAAGTTCCTTAGCTGAAGTCTTCCCATGCAGAGCTGATCACAGCATCTGTATGTAACTGCAGCTGAGCGTGTCCCTACCTGTATGTGTGCTCGAAGGGGCTTCAGAGCTTGTCACAGCAATACAGTGTAAAGGGAGCCCAGGCTGGCTCAGTGGTACCCCAGTTCTAGGTGGCACCTGTCACACCCCCTATGTATCTATCGGGATCTTTAGGCACTTAAACATATCTGAAAATCTGGCCTAGAGGCACAGGAAGTCTGTGACAAAGCAAGGAATTGAACTTGGGTCTCTCAAGTCCCCAGCTAGCACCTTACCCACCAGCCCATCTTTCCTCTCTGTAACTGTGAAACACCTTTAAGTGATGCCAATATCAAGTGTTGATAAGGAACAGCAGTAAGAATGGGTCTAAACAAGAAATACTGGGATTATAGGAGCATGATTCCACCATTTCTTTTCTACATGTCAATCTCTAATTTACAGGGAGTGCAAAAACACAATAATTGCAATCTCTACTTTACTTATCTCTCAAAGTCTTATTGTATCAGCAGCTTTCCACTCTCATTTTAGTATATCATGTTTAGGGTTTGTTTTGTCACTTTTAATTTTTCTGATAGGGATTATGTAATATATGCATACAAGAGAGTTTTTGTAGAACTGATCAGTTGTAAATCTACAGACCAATTACATTACAAAGTTATAGATAAACAGACCCAAGCCTCCTTTCATTGAAGTCAATGGATGTTTTGCCAAGAATTGAAATGAGAACCCAATTGGGCCCAATATATACAAAACATTCAGTGCAACATTTTATTTTAGCTTTACCTGGATCCTGGGGTAATATAATTGCCTGAGAATAAGGTGTAAATGATACATAGCTTCTTTCTTCAACAATACGTTTATCACTGTTAAATTCGATTTTAGTGAAACCTGCAACACTCGCCCTGATGAGAGGGAGGGAAAATGAAATAGTCACGTTAGATTACGCTAACAATCGAAGCCTGACAAGTAGTATTTATGATCTGGTGATCCAATCACTACTTAGATTTCAATTGTATACAAGGAAATTACAACAAACAACAAGATAAATACCAGTATGAACCAAGTGGTTCCAGCCGTGCATTGGTATAGCCATCCGATGTGACTGTATTTCCTACTTCCATTTCATATTGTGAACTCTCTGAAGGGGAGGAAAAGGCTCTCATTTGCGTAGCGTTTATGACATCTGTTATGTAAGTGTTTGTTTTCTTTTCCTTGAAGTCATTGTATGTATAGTTCAAGATGCTATTTGTAGGTTTATTGCCTTCTGAAAATACAAATATACAACCGACATCAACTAATGTTTTTGTAAAATTATATTTTAAAATACAGTAACTGGCTCAAGGGCAATAATAGTAAAATACTAACTAACGATTATGACTATTCCAGCAAATGTGGAATATTGCCTGAAATTAAAGGCGAAGGGCAATATGGACAATTTCAGATACTCTTTTCACTGTAGAACAATTTATTTATTTTGTCCCCAGAGAAATAACCTTTTGGATATACAAACAACTTCTCTGCAGAAAACTACCTGCGCTGAAGTTTTCTGTACTGAAACTTCACTGCACACTGCTGAAAGTCCTTCTAGGACAGTCTTCACTAGACAAATCAGATCATGTTAGAACCTGACCTTGAGGAGCCGCATTAACTAACACAGCTTTGCAGTCAGTGTAGATGGGACAAGCCGTGTTTAATCATGATCAGTTGACACATACAGGTTTATCAAAGCCAGCTGACAAGACATTCAACACAACTTGCCTGTCACAGGGTGACTTTAAGAATGGCCCTTTCAGAGATGTATCCACTCTCACCTATGACACACTTACCCGCCTGTCCAGGTAAAGAAAACAAGCAAAGTCACATAACAGGCAGGTCATGTGGCTAAATTAGGCCTTCTGGGGTGGAGCTAAAACAGAAACTTGTAGAGGACCAAAAGGTGTGAAGGGAGATTCCAGGTAGAAAGCCCTGGCAGTCAGTGCTTGGTAGAGAGCAGGGAGAGAATCAGAGAAGCCCAGGAGAGCATGAGGGGTGAGAAGAAAAGATGGCAGGCTACAGCGTGTCTGGATTTTGAAGAAGACAGACAGATCTTCAGGAAGGAGGGGCTTTGTCCAGCTTGAGACTGAGGTGGAAGACTCTTGTGTTTGTTTTGGAGCTGGAGACCCTGGAAGGGGTGGACTTTTTCTTTAATGACTTAGCCTTTTGCAGTGACTTGGACCCCTAGCTACTGCAGAAACCAAACCAGACTCCAAGGGTGGGTGATCTAGACTGAGGGAGGAGAAACTAAAGCAGCAGCTAGACCAAAGCCAGACCTGGTAGGCCATGGTACTACATCGTCCCTGTCTCCACTAGCTGCAAAGCTGTGCTTAATACTGAGTCAGAACATGAGCTTCAAGAGTCGAGTTAACAAATAGGACCCAATTTGGTAATGAAGACAGGCTCATAGTATGCCAGGATTTAGCACATAAACCTCAAGAACCTGAGAAATAAGGGCTGCTTCGTCCTCCTCTTGCTGTTGGAAGAGATTAAAAGAACTGGTCGACATAGCCCAAATAGGAGTTGTTTGGGAATCAACAGCTCCTAGTCCAGAAGACTCAGAAGAAATGGTTCCTGTGTTGACTGGACTCTTAATTTGGGACATCAGTAATGCTATCAAGCCATGCAATCACTTTAAGTCAAATTGCTTAAGATAACGCTCTTAACATAATTTTTAATCTAATGTTGCAAATTCCAGAGTGAAGGTGGAGTGGGTAATATGGTATAAAAACACCTTATATCACAAAACACGAAGCGAGGTTGTCTAAATACATTAGACTGTTTCTTCCCATCCCTGCCCTATGATGCTGTCAAGGAAAGAATTAATTCCTGGATTTTGAAGCAGATTATGTCGCTAAAGCATGTAAAAATTATCAGGAAACAATACATTTCAAATCGCTCGCTGCCAGAGATGAGTTCATAGCAAACACACAGAGTTAAATGTTCAGTGCTACGTGAGGAGGAAGTAGCTGGCCACTGTTAGTGGAATTTGTGCATATCACAGAAGTGAACCATAGAAGTGTCGGACTGGAAGGAATAACAAGAGGTCTTCTAGTGCTGCACTCAAGGCTGCCCTTGGGCAGCCCCACTTATTGCTTTTAAAAAATAAACCCCCCTTTTTAAAGGAAACTGCATTAAATTAGTATCTAACAAGAGGTTGCAGAAAGGTAGGGAAGGTTGTTTTGTGAGCAAACTGTAACAGCTAAAAAACCAGTTATGTGCATGCTACAGGGGAACTTAGGGCTCACTGAAATCATTGCCTTTAATGGTGCAGGATCAGGGCTCACGGCAAAATAGTTTCTCTGAAATCCTGCTTGCTTTACATTAGAGCAGCTGATGCCATTTCTGCACTGAAGAGAATGGTGAAAAACCGTTACAAATGAATTATATTAATGTCCCAAACAACACAAACCCACCCTAAACTTAGTGTACTAAGATTACAGACAGTTGAACGTTATACAGTTGGAGCATTAAAGTTACACTTTATCAAGATGGATGAGCCATTTCCTAAAGTCTTTTCCCCTCACAGTAAAGCATCTGATGCTGACAAATTGGTATCTCCCTTTTCAGTTTCCATCAGTCACGACTAGAAAAATCTATTTACTTGCCCAAGTGAACAAACACAATATAGAACCATGCTTTGCATGTGATTCAGCTTTAAATATGAGTGGTTAGAGGCATCTGAAAAAAATACAAGTATCTATTAATAAAACACTGATATTAACTATGTAATTTTGGGGCAGTCAATTAAGGCAAACTGAGGATACTGGAGTACAAGAAACTATTCAAGTATCATCAGTGATGTAATCACTATTGTACAAGAAAGTGTACTTTAAAAAAATATGGAGGGAAGATCTACAAAGGAAGCTGCTAAGAGATGCATACTCATTGTTAAAACAAAAGGCAAGTTGAGGTATCATAATATCTGTTTATATGTCAATAAAATCCTGCATGGGGAACCACTTATTTCAGCTGCCCTCATTTGCAGGAATGAAACATATTTTAGCCTGCAAAGAACAGGCTTGCTGATTTCATGAATTATCACTGTGGTTAACCAAGTAAAATTTTTCTTTGATTTTTGATGTTTTAAAGTTAATGTGTTTTATAGCAATTCTCCATAGCAAGCCTTATGGCTTCCTTAGTTTCCCTTAGCATGTGATGCTGACAATGTTCGTCCTGCCTTTCATCCATAAAAATACCCCAATCAGAGGTGAAAGTAAGCCGGTACGCCCTGGTATGGTGTACCGGCAAGAGCCGGTGCACTGTACCGGGGCGGCTCGGCTTCCCCAGGAGGCAATTTAAAGGGCCTGGGGCTCCCAGCAGTGGCTGGAGCCCCAGGCCCTTTAAATTGCCACCAGAGCCCCGCTGCTGGAGCTCTGGAGTAGCAGCGGGGCTCTGGGGGTTATTTAAAGTGTCGGGGCTCCCGCTGCCTCTACTGCCCTGGGCTGGGGTGGTAGAAGCAGGGGAGCCCTGGGCGCTTTAAATAGCCCCCAGAGCTCTGGAGTAGTGGCGGGGCTCCGGGAGCTATTTAAAGGGCCGGGGCGGTAGAAGCAGGGGAGCCCTGGGCCCTTTAAATAGCCGCCAGAGCCCTGGTGCCGGAGCCCTGGAGTAGTGGCAGCCGGGGGCTCCAGCAGCGGTTTAAAGGGTCCGGGGCAGTAGAGGCAGACGAGCCCTGGGCCCTTTAAACTGCTGCTGGAGCCCCCAACTGCCGCTGCTACCCCAGCGGGGGACAGGGAGGGCACTTACCAGTACAGGGCGGGCCGGGGCTGGCTCTGACCCCCCCATCTCCGCTCCTTCTGCCCGAGGCCCCGCCCCTTCCGGGGGCCAGAGTCGGCTCCAACCCAGCCCCGTACCGGTAAGTCCCTATTTCTACTTTCACCCCTGCCCCCAATGGCAATAAGCTATTACTAGTACAATGGGAGAACAGTACTTCACCTCCCCCAACTTTCTGACATTTTTATTGTAATAATCTTCACAGCCTTGAAAAACACCCCAAAATTCAGAAGTTGTTAATTACTAGCCCCTAGAATCATTCTACAAAAAAAAGACACTATACAATTTTGCAGTTTGTGTTGCTGGCAAACCAATAAGGGAGCTGATCAGATAGCACAGTGGCAACATTGTGAAAGGCCTATGAACTAGAATAATTCAGGCTAGTCAAGTCTATGAGTTAAATCCTGGCCTATGAAGTCAATGAGAGTTTTGCCATTGACTTTAGTTGAGCCAGAATTTCACTCTATGTTTCTGAACAGCAACTGCAAATATCAGGAGTAATTCTTCCCCTTCCACTTAGTTTAGGATCTAAAAAGTTTGTCCCGATGGATATACACATGATGTCTGACATAATAATAATACATCTGGGAGCTAACATCCTAACATCTTACCTTTATCTGTTGTGATTACTATTGCATAGGCCTTTAGCGGTCCATTTTTTGACACAAACCCACTGAACTGAATTTTAAAGGAGTTGTGAGTGATTGACGTAATATTAGGCTTTTCTACTGGAGCAGGTGGGTCTGTGACAGAGAAATATTAATATTAATTAGCATCTCAACATGTGGGAAGGAAAAGGTGAATCAAGGAGAAAGATACCTTATGTTGAAATATCTATCTTCTCCAACTACCTAGGAAAAGTTACAAAGAAAGCCCACCATTTTCTCCCATTATTGCAATTTGCACATTAGGCAACATCATATAAACCCACATTACCCAGCACATTTTAATGTCACTTAAAGAAGCAGCTTTAAAATCAAGCAAGTCAACGAAGAAATAGTGTCCCATTCATATAAAAATGCTGTAAGGAAATAAAAGTCCATATTTTTGATCATACTAGTTCTACATAGTTAATATATAAATTCTCACACACAACTTTGAATGAAGATAAAGTGTCTCTCTCATAGCTTGAATATTCATATGTACTGTATAATGCTACACATTTTGCATTTTGTAATTTAGAGGGGTTTTTTTTTTGGCCCTGTACCCCACACCAAACTTTTTACACTTACCAGTGATACTTGTAACACATGTTTTTTGCACTGGAAGGCTTTCTTTCCCACATGAACGGGTTATAATACTAACATTGTAGGAGGTGGAATAATTTAAATTTGTTACAGTTGTATCTAGGTTACCAGCCAAAACCAGTGTTTCATTGCTCCAGACATCACTGAATGTCTTAATGGTGAAGTTAGTACTGTCACCAGCAGGGCGCTCCCACTTTAGTGTTAACTTAGCTTCTTTAGTCACTTGTATACAGTTAAATGAAGACACTGGTGCAGCATCTGCAAAAGAAGAAAAGAGGTTAGTGGAACAATCTGGATGGTTATCTATTTAATCCACTTAAGCTCTACAGAGCAGGAACCCTGGTTTTCATCTGCCTGTGAAGCACCACATACATTTATTGTAGAACTATATATAAGTAATAAATATTATCTAGCACCTATTTCCTTTTATGTTCTCTGCTATTTTTCTGTTCTCTCTCATCTCTATACCACATGCTCAGTCTTCCTTCTTTCTTCCCATGGCGCTATATTCCTTTCTTCTCTGATTTATAGTATACATTTTGCCTTTATTCTCTGTCCATTTTTCTCTTTTTATGTCAACCTGCCAAACATTCTGAGGTTTATGGTTTAGACTGTGTTTAAAATGCAGGAAAAAGTGCAAAGGAAGAAGCAACTAGCTTGAAAAGAATGTATGCCACCCAAAAGGTAAGCGACATTAGACACCTCATGAATGAATGACTTCTTCTATAAAGAAGAACTCGGGAATTGAGGTTCACTATTTGTTACCTGCCAAGCAAGGTTTGGACAGGCAGAGTCCTGAAGAGTTTGCTGGCAAGACAGATAAGCTAGTGTGTCAGGGAATCACGTCACAGCTTAGCAGTAGCAAAACTCACTTGCAGAGGCTGAGGGAGTAACACACTAATTTATAATTCTGGGAACCCCAGAAGACTATCACAGTGGGATTTACTAAAGTGCTTAACTGGGAATGCAACCCACTGGGAGTTAGGCACATAATCTGCGCAGATGCTTTTGTAAATTCCACCTGGCACATCTTTGCCCCTGGAGGTACCTGAATACCTTAGTAAATCTGGCCCTGTGTTCCTCGGTTTCATATACAGATCATGGTATTTTAAATGTTCCAGTTACATGGGTTCCAGGAGCCATTCCCATTATCACTATGACTTGATAAATTCTGAACTATCCTAGCACCAACAGTGGGGAGAAACACAGGAGGCATGAAAAACTGCCTTACAAATCATATTTGACAAAGCATGTATACTTTCCAACAACATACAAAAGTACAACAGAACCATGTCAGCTAGCTACAAGTTAACAGACACAACAAAATGCACTTAATCCATTGGAGAGAAACACTAGTTGGGCTACCTTTCCAAAGAAAGGATCCATTTTAGGCTAAATCAGTTACAAGTTTATTGATTCTTTCTACTGATTGAAGTAAAACAAAACAAACAATTTTTTTTTTTGCCAATCTACACAATAATGTACTTTTGGGTGCCTGCATATTGTGCATGTGGAAACCACTAACACCTCATCACTGAGACATGCCTAGATAAAAGCTTGTGAAATATTCACAAGAAAATTCAGTGTGTGTGTGTGTGTGTGAGAGAGAGCGTGAGACAGGGACAGACCTTCAGCTCCCCTTCTAGCTGTTCTGCAGTACTCAGGCAGTGCACAGCACCTGGAAAGTGTTCTTAATGGGGCATTTTTTGATCCATCTGGTTTAGACAAATTCCTGGGGGGGATTGAACTGGTGTCTCTATGCCACCCATCCAGTGCCCCACCTGCCCCCATACTGCTTCCAAGTGTAGGGGTATGACAGAGATCTTGCACTCGAGTGATCCCCTGGCAAAGTGCTTCATAGAGGCCATTACTGCCAGAGATATTTAGGGCCAGATGTTCAAGGGTATTTAAAAACCTAAAGATGCAGATATGTGCCTAATGGGATTTTTAAATGCACCTTTAAAAGTCCCACTGGGCACCAATCTCCATCTTCACGTGCTTGAATACCTTTGAAAATCTGGCTCTTAGAGCAGCCCTTAGACTGCTCTAAGTTATGGTGGAGCTGAACTGGCCTCCACCAGCCTCAAAATTAGAGAAATGAAGATGTGTCTTAGCGGATGTTTACACTTGGAGGTGGAAGTGTAATCCCCAGCTCAAGGAGACATACGTGTACCAGCTCTCATTGAGCTAGCACACTAAAAAAGTGTGTAGCCATGGCAGCACTGGTAGAGGAATGGCCTAGCCAGCTGGAGTATACGCCCATCGAAGACCATAGGCACATACTCAGGATAGCTGGCCCATCCCACTGCTTTCACCACCATGGCTAAACTCTGTTTTTAGCATGCAAGCATGTCTCCTTGAGCTGGGAATCAAACTCTAGCCCCAAGTATAGATACTATATACTGTTAGCACTACTTCTCTCTAGGTTTCTGCTGAACACAGCTTGGCCAGAATCAAGCAACTGGCTATGGTGAAGAGGACATTGGTTCTACTTCTGAAAGATTCAGAATGAAAAATGAGCTGATTTCCAATCAGTGATTTGATGATCTCACATGCTTTCACAGCCAAACTTTTATTCTAACAGAAATGTAAAGGCTGGAGCACATAACAGGCAGCAAGATGACAATATGGAGTATTTTTATTACATAAACAAACACATGTACATTGGGGTTGGGGGGAAGTAATGGAGGAATGAAAGAATGCCTGCATTTAATTGTAAGCAACATGTACTGTGTATTTCTATTACTTACTTGTACAGATGTGTATGACTGCTGAGTCTCCTGTAGTCGTGTTATCCACTGCTACTGGAACTATTGTGAAGTTATAAGAGGTACCAGGCTGTAATCCCACAATTACAGCACTTTTGTTTTGGGAGGTTTGGTTCCGAGTAGGAGAAATTCCATTCCCATCAGTGAATATTACATATGTGTAAAGAGGAGCAGCAGTGTCATTGTTTCCCCATGTTAAGGTCACTTGATCTGTGCCGATACTTGTGGGCTCGATGTCAAAAACTGGACTGGGCTCTGTTTGGGGAAAAACGGAACACATACATTTATATAGAGAGAGTAGTATTTAGGAAAACTTGTAGGGCCTCGCCCCAGCAAAATTATTAAACATTATTAATAGATATACTGGGGGGTGGGGGGAGTATGTTCATTAAAAAAAATGGACAAATAAGCAAATAGGTTTGTAAATTTCCAGTTACTGTTTTGACATTTACACAAATACAATTGGCAATAAATTTACAATGGCTAGTGGTCCCAATTTTTGTTCTTTTCATTTTCATGTTCCAGAGATATGTCAATTTATTCTATTGCTATAATGAGTTTCTATTGTTTAACCTGCTGTGAATTCCTATATATCAGTGCAGGTTACTCCACTGTGGAGGATCTGCCAGACTAGCTTTTACATATAGTGTAACAAAAAAAGGAGGTGGTGTTGCATTATACATCAAGAATATTTACACTTGTACTGAGGTCCAGAAGGAGGTGACAGACAAACCAGTAGAAAGTCTCTGGGTGAAGATAAAAGAGGAAAAAAACCCAAGGAGCAATGTCATACTGGGGGTCTACTACAGACCACTAAATCAGGATGAGGAGGTAGACGAGGCATTTAGAGAAAAAACAACAAAAATATCCAAAACAGAAGTGTAAGCAGAGTCAGGATGAGCTCTACCCTGACATCTGGTGGTGAATTATGGCGAGTGTGGAAAAGAACTCCAGGGGCGGATCTTGTTTGCATAGGCACACCCACACGCCTAGCATGAGCCCACAGCAACCAAAAGTGGTTACTTTGGCTGGTGTGGGATCCCCAGTTTCTCTGTTATTGGGGCAGGAAGAATAAAGTTTTGTTACCCTGATTCTGTGAATCAAGGCCAGTGGAACTGTTGTATGACAGAAGGACTGAGTGAATCCGTCACCATTACCTAAGTAGCATTTGCTTGTCAAGGGGCATGGGTTACAAAACCCAGTGAATTGAGAGAGGTTGGGGGCAGGTATTGGTACCTGGTGCTGTGGGGCCCCTGCGTGAGCCTGAAACACCAATTGCACCTTCTCCTCTCTCCACTGTTGAATGTCAGAGCTAACTTTGATTCCCTTAGGAGTCTAGTTACAGGCTGCTGAGCTGAGTTCACTTTGGGCCACTAGTGCACCAGCACTGGGGCTCCCCTACTATGAGCTGAAATCACTATGAGCTGAAATCACAAAAGAGCTAAAGTTACTAAGAGCTGAGATCACTGAGGCTGTGTTAACTAGTGGGGGAGCCTGAATTGCTAAGCGGCTGGCGGAGCAGTTTGCGGGGACGGCTGGAGGAGCAGCTAGCCGAGTGGAGCCTCGCGGGGACGGTTGGAGCAGAGCAGAGCGGAGCTGAGCGGCTCACAGGTCGGTGAGCGGAGCGGAGCGGAGCAGAGCAGCTGGAGGAGCAGCTGGCAGAGCGGAGCCTTGCGGGGACGGTTGGAGCGGAGTGGAGCCGGGCGGCTCACAGGTCGGTGAGCGGAGCAGAGCAGAGCAGTTCGTGGGACGGCAGGAGCGGCTCACGGGACAGCAGGTGGAGTGGAGCGGCTCGTGGTGAAGGCTGCGGCGGAACCCCACGGAGAGGCGGCCGGTTGGTCTCGGATCACGTAAGGTGCCCCTTAACACCCTGCGCCCCTCCCCCCTGAACTCTGGGGCTGCACTGACCAGGGACAGAGACTTTGGGGGGTTGTTGGACTTTTGGGACTTTGGTGATTCTTGGGTTGCTGGACCCAAGAGACTTTGGGGTTGTTGGACTTTTGGGACTTTGGTTGCTGGTTTCAAGAAACCAACGGGAAAGGACACGGCCCAATTTGCTGGGGTGGGTCTTCGCTCATGGTTTGGTCTATGAACTCTAGTTGTGGTGTTTTCCCAATTTAATGCTATGTCGTTTACCTCATGTTATTAAACATTTTTCTGCTACACCGAGGCTCTGTGCTTGCGAGAGGGGAAGTATTGCCTCTTCGAGGCGCCCAGGGGTGTGTGTAAGATTTTCCCAGGTCACTGGGTGGGGGCTCGAGCTGGTTCTGTGTCACGCTGTTGGGAAGGGACCCCTATGTACTGAACCCGGCCCTTGCTGCTATCACTTGGCCTGGCAGAAGGGTTACAGAAGTAATGGAGGAATTTAGCTACTCAAACATCTGTTGGGTTGGAAAAGATGTATAGAAATTTCATGAATCAGACAAAGTGATGAGGTGACAGATTTGAAATCACAGATTAGAATTTCAGAATGTTTTCTTGAAAGAGATTTCAATGACTTACTTGTATAGGTCTTTGTGGGGGTGGAGTCTCCTTCAGTGCCTGCAACTTGTGAGAAGACCATAAATAGATGCAAGGTACCAGGTTTCAATCCTGTAATGGTAGCAGACTTGTTTGGAGAAGTGATGTTTTCTGG